GTATAGCAGCAGAGAGAAGAAAATGGTTATTGTAAGTAACCAAGCCTGATCCTATTGTTCAGGGGCTGTTTCAAGCGAAACAACCGGTCATAAGCGAAGACATTGATTCTTCCCCTATATACTAGCACCGTGACACATTCAGAACTGATGTCCCCGTCTTTACTGATTAAAATATTTATCACTTTTGTCACACCCTTTTAATTAAAATAAACACTCGATTTCAACAAACTTGAAGTTAGGGCCCGAGGATTTCAATATGTATGTGCATGTATAATATACGATACTTTTTTAAAAATAAGAAATATCTACCTTTACCGGACAGTGGCCAAGCTTGGTCTATGAAACAAAAATTTGTACTATTTCTAAGTCATAAACGTAACGGTGAACTGACCTATTTAACTTCAATCATTAGGCATTACCAATTAACTTTTTTTTAAGACCTAAGAAAAACCAACACACATAGAAACAAAGGACAATGGACTGCTCTTTAGAAAGGAATCACATCTCCATTGTAATTGAATAGCTTCCCAGTGCTCTCTTCACCTTTCGATCCAATCACTTGAAGGCAGCTAGAAATGCTCTTCTCTGGAGAAAGATCGGCTTTTTCTGTCCCCATGTCTGTCTGTACCCAGCCTGGATGAAGTGACAAGGCCATGATACCAGCTGCTCTTAACTCTCGAGAGATCAAAATAGTAGCCATAGTCACAGCAGATTTGGAGCATCTGAAGAAAAATAAAGAAGACAAGAGAAAAATCATAATTTGTTTTTTTCTTTAAATATATTGACTGGACAATTCAATGCTAAAGCATCATCTAGCATTGGTTAAAACATCATGTTTCTAGGAGCGGGTGGTTAGTGGGTGCTCTGATGTGGTTTGCTTCTTCTTTCCTATCAAACATCTATTGTCTTAATCTCCCTTCCTTCTTTTTGTGTTTGTTACTCTCTTGTAACACCTCTAATCTTCGGCACACAAATGACCTTATTGTGTTCCAGTTGCCGTAAAACAGTTACTTAAACAAACGAAACTTCATGTTATATATAATGAGCGTGGAGTAAACGTTTACTTTTACGAAAATAAGCATCTCCTGGTCCAGAAGGCTTAATAACAAGTCTTATTTGAACACAGAAGATAAAATGACTGTGGCGTGAGAGGCCCACATCATCAAACAATGCAAAGGTAACTTGTGAGTGTCTGGCCATTGAATAGTAACATACAGCCAAACGTCGTTACACCGCCAACCTTGGGATGAGCATGAAGTTGGTGGTATAGAGGGACTGACGGTATAACGGGTTTCTAATGCTATCCTCAGTTAAATAGCCTCGACAGCCCCCCCCCCCCCTACCCCACTGTCAAAATAAATGACGTCCAAGACATCTACCAGTCCAAGACATCCACCTGTCAAAAACACCCTCCTGTCCAAAGTCCCACAGGTACAAGACTCCCACCTGTCCAAAATCCCCGATGTCCAAGAAACCCACCTGTCCACTGTCCAAGACATCCACCTGTCTACTGTCCAAGACATCCACCTGTCCAAACTCCCACATGTACAAGACACCCACCTGTCTACTGTCCAAGACATTCACCTGTCCAAACTCAAAGATGTCCAAGAAACCCACCTTTCCAAGACAGCCACCTGTACTAGACACCCACCTGTCCAAAACACCCACTTCCCCTTTTGCCGTCTTCCTATTTTATAATGACACAGGCCAAGGTGTCCACCTGTCAAAGACAACCACTGTTCTCCTCGAGAGAGGAGGGGGGGGGCGTCTTAGACATTTTCCAACTATTACAGCTAAGCGTCTTCTCTCTCTCTCTCTCTCTCTCTCTCTCTCTCTCTCTCTCTCTCCATGTTTTGTACATGTATGTTTGTTTGTGTTTGTTGTGTATGTGTGTGTTTCTGTGTTTGTGTGTTTGTATGTGTGTGTGTTTGTGTGTGTGTGTACAAATTCAAAGTGAAAAGTACATGTACTGCTGGGTTAGAGGCTATTTGTGGCAGTGGATACATGCTGCTGGAATATTTATTTCTTGTCTAAAATTTTCTTTGACTTTTAACCATGTTCTGTCGTCTGTTTTCGTCTCCACTTTTTGCCCCCACCTCCCTCCTCTCTTTGTCTCTCCTCTAGGCTTCTGACTCTTTTTGCAGCTTTTCTACTGCTACTCCTTCGCTCCTTCTTACTGCTGACGTTCAGCCACACCCCTGATCTTATGGTAAGTAATATCTAACACGTAGCCTTCCCGGACAAGGGTGAACAATCTCGGAGGTCCCGCGTGTAAGTTGCGCCCGTTAAAGATCCCTTGGTGGGTCAAAATCGATAATAGTAGGCTTCTGCCGCGACCCGAGCACAATTCAAAATTGATTCCTACCAACCTGAAAATGTTTATTACGCCCCGCGCGCTCATCACATATGACCTTACGCAGTTGCACGAGCGCTGTAAAACACTTACCAAACATGAAATGTAAATGGCAAGGGTGGGGACGTGAAATGAGCAGAGAGGGAACAAATCAATGACAAGTGCTTGCTGACAGAGTTGAGAGTGGGAGAAAGGAAGGTTATCCTGGCACAGCTGACGAGAGGGTGCCGTGTGCAGTGTGCTGTATGTACCTCTGGCGGTGTTGCGGCGTAAATTTTCACTAATATATTCCTTTTCATGCATTTGCAAAAACTGGCGGTATGCAGGACTAGCAGAATAACGGGGATCGGATCAATATAGCATGGCATGACTGTATCTGGTAAGTGTCTATAGTCTAAGACAAGGGAAGGTCAAGCGTTACTTGGAAGGAAAGCTTCAAGGATCAGACACACAAGTGCCATTCCTTCATCATTTGCACACTGCCCCAGAAAACAGGATCACATACATGCCAGTTATGAAAATCATCACACAAAATGCATCTTGCACAAAATTACCACAAGCAAAAAGGAAACGGGAAATATACATGAGTTCTTTGAACAGAGGAAGCAGAATAAAGAAGATAAAAGATCAATCAACTCAGATATCTGTAAGAAAAAAACTCTGGTCATTCAAATAATTACTTGCATTTGGCAATCAGTGCGAAGTAACAGTACTTCAAAAGAAGTGATTTCTTACTACTATGATGAACAAGAAACAGAAGCAACATTATAATAACATTGCTATATAGTATATAGACTACACATATTTTCAATTTTACTGTGAACAATATTAATGACTAAGTTCAACATCAGATCTGACTCAAATAACAGTCAATGATTTCAAATCTCCTGAGAAGAAGCCACCCCGAGATGCAAAGGGGGAGGAGGAGGAGGGGGAGGAGGAGGAGGAGGAGGAGGAGGAGGAGGAGGAGGAGGAGGAGGAGGAGGAGGAGGAGGAGGAGGAGGAGGTATTGAGGATGCTGAAAATATTGAAATTCTGAGGATATTATAAAAGCAACAGAAACTCACTTGTAATGTAAGGAAAATCCTCTTCCATTCTGATACGTCTCATTTTGAGATGCACCTATGGAAGAAATATTGATGAGGGCGGCTTTGTTACTACTCATGGGCTGAGACTTGTTCTGAGCTGCTGCTTGCTCTAGGAGAGGCAGGAACTTCTGTGCCACGATGATGGGGCCTGGACAACACAAAGTACAAAGGTTAGGTTGTTTTTTAGCTCTAAATTTAAAGGAATAAGAAATGGTCAGAAACTTTCAGACTCGAAAATAAAATGGAAGTTTGCAAAACCGGATATAATATTATTCTATACCATACATTGAGTTTGGTTTAGCATTGCTCTTCCGGTGAAATGAATCCTTATATTTCACACAGGAAATACAGTGTAGGCCTATAAACTAATATCTCACTCTTGATATAATATAAGCAAAATTTCGATAAATTACTTTGCGCACTGTATTCGTCCTCTAACCTTCTGTAAGTAAAGTATAATAGACTTTAATCATAATATTATTCCTAGACCGTGCATTGTTATAGCAGCTGCTCTTTGCCCTCTGTAAAAACTTCGCTGCAAAGCGTGCTCACCATAGGCGCCTAAATGACATGCCAAACACCAGTCTCCCAGTGTCCTTATAATTGAGAGAACGTGCAACGTTCTTCGTTGCCCTTAATTTTGTTTCAGATTGAGTCAATAAATACCCCACGGTCGGTGCCACTGACTGAAGCGTCTTTAGGCCATTCCCAAAGGGAGGACATTTCTCGTTCTGATGCACAGTAAAATTGTAAATAGGCTGATCCAACAATGTCATGCTCATAACTCTGCCTGAACTACAACAGGGAACTGCTGCTTTTTCTTTCCTAATCATTACTATCGTCATTTTCCTCTACTTCTTTTGGATGCTTGTCACACTCTTGTGACCCGCTATTTCCGGGGTGCCTTGATAGACGAAGCCGACTTTGTGCTGTTGAAGCTAGCGAGGTGAGCAGAGTAAGTCTGATTCCCTAGTGTATGGACTTCTCTGTTAACATCCACCCCTTGGCGCTCATATGACCTTATGCAGTTGCGAGCGTCGTAAAACCTCTACTAAAACTAAAACTAAAGAGTCAATAAATAGTGGGGAAAATAGTGAACCGGTATTACGTCATAGTGCGGTGATGTATGTCAGTGCAATGCACAAAGTCTATATCAGGAAAAGACTAGATCTAGTTTGTTTTGGTTTCGAAGTTTACAATTAAAGTCAATGTCATCTCTATTCTACTCAAACGTGTCATGTAAATGCTGTTTCTAAATTTTTCAACTTTTGAATCATACGTATTCTGTTTGCTTTCTCTATGTTTGCGTTATTATTGTTTTGTTTGGGGTTTATTTCGCGGAGGGAAACATACGGATAGCGCAACCAACAAGTAAATTAATGTGTCCAAAAATAAAGGAACAATATTTCTTCCAATCCTCAGTCTTACCCCGACGGGCATGAAAATGTTGTTTTCATGAGAGACTCTAGAATGGATCATCTTGTTCACTTGACAGATCAGTTGAACATTTTTGTTTCGGATCTATTTCGCCAAATGATATCAATATGCTATATAAAATGTTACACTCGCTATGACCATGATTTATCCTACTTGTGGAATTGCCAGTTGTAATCACTTGTTGAAACTCATGATTACAACTTGGCATTACCACTCGTAGACACCTTGGTCGACTAAGACAACTTGGTCGACTAAGACAACTTTGACTGAAAACATAAGTAAGCAGACGGTACCAAAAGGTTTGCCTCTTATATGTGGCAAAAGTGGGTGCTCGCTCTACTAAGTTTTAAAAAGCTGACAAGCAGTGGGGTGAATGGCTAAATAAGGCAAACAGATTCCCTGAAATAAACATAGTAATACTCAAAATGATAACTGCAAACTCACCCGAACAATTGATATCGAAATGTCGCTGCATATTCTCCCGGGACTGGGTTCTGAGCCCAGGGTTATCAGTTTTCACCAAGATGCCAGCGTTGTTGATCAAAAGGTTCAGTCCTCGATCTCCAACAATGTTCTTTGTTTCCTTCAGATAAAATGAGAGAAAATGAACTGTGAAGTTATTTTTCTTTTACCCTCTCAAATTCCCTTTCAAAGGAATAAATTCTCTCTCTAAGATACGACAAACATTGTTGATGTGATGGCCAACCAAATAAGTAGACCCACAGATATTATAATGCCAAAATAGTGACCATTTTTCTTAAGATTTTCGCAGAGGCACAGTGCTTTCCTGAGAGACAAGTATAAAAAAGCCATGGTAAAAATTGTGCTCTCACATGTTGAGGGTTGATCAAAGTGCGATGAAAGTAATGACATTTGAAAGAAATTTAAATTTTCATAATTCCATTCAGTACAGGAGCGAAATGTTTATCCAAGAGGATTCCAAATCAAAATGTATTTCAACCTCTCTTGCGTTGGTACTGACCCGTAGACGTAGACAGTGAAGACACTTGAACTGTCCAAGCTAGAGGGCTCAAATGAGAGACCTGTAACCAGTAAACAGCAATCGAACATACTACGCCTTCACTACAAAACTACAACTGCACTACGGTAAGGTAAAGCTGTTCTCGCATCCGATCTGGACATGGGGGATTGCCTTATTATTAGTGAGACAACTTCCTGGGCCTTCGGCATATTGTGGTAGGGACTACTATACTTGTGACAAAATGACGCTCTTCGGCCTTTTCATTTACACTGTAATCATTAAACTTAAAGTAATATAACCAAGTTCAGTCTTGAAAAGGGAAGAGAAAAATTCAAAGTGAATTTTGATCAGAGGCACATTAGCCTAGTACTGACAACAACGTCCAGACAGAGCCTAGCCTGGACTTTTATTAATTATGTTTATACACAAACCTGAGCGGCAGAAATTATGTCTTCGTCTTTTTCCACATCTAATTTGATCACTTTCAAGGACGGATTTGCTTTCGCCAGAGTCTGCAGATCGTTTGCAGAACTTGGATTACGACAGGCAGCAATGAGTACTTCAGGTGCTGAAGGTAATTGTAGAATTTGTCTCACAAATTCCAGACCCAATCCTCTTGACGCTCCGGTCACCAAGATCGTTTTTGCTGTAACAGGCATGGTTGATGAAGGTGGAACACTGTGGAAGACTATCTTAGTCCTTGCTTCTGAAACCTGAACGCAGCTTGGCAAGAAGTCCGATAAGCGGTTATTCCGGGTTTTATAATATTGTTGGTTGAAGAAGTCCAAGTCTCCACTCAGCGCTAATTGTATTGTAGCAACCTCACTGTACCCTGCTACGGCACACGACGCATATACCTTCCACAATCTAACGCCCAAACTATTATAACTGCGAGTTGAGAAACTGGTCAGTGAGAATGACAAGGCTTTTTTAAAAAGGTGACCACGTAGCCTATCTTTCAATCATACTGTTTTATCACAGAGTGACACTGGCTATTGATAGATATCTGGGACTGTGTCGCCTTCTTTCACATTCCCCGCCCTACTTTTTTATAAGGTTAAACTACCCTGCACGCATCCAGACCTGCGTACAACAACGTTCATTCTGTTCTTGATAAAGCAGACGTAGAGTGGGGGAAAAATTAATTAACAGGGCACCTTCCCTTGGATTGCTGTTGACTTAGATTCTTCATGTATAATCCACTTTTTTTTTTAAATTCCACTTTTATTGAAGCTGGCGGGAACATTTTTAAAATGTCTGTTTAAAAAAAAACTTGATTTGTGAGATTTTTTAAAATAAAAGAACAATTTCAGACTTCAATGCTGTTGTTTTCTTCATGATGAGTCATTGAAGCTATGTGATAAACATTTGTAGTCCATAAAACAGGGGACTGTCGGTAGTTACATCAAGGGCATGGCGGAATCACGCAAGGCCTACCGGTACTTGCAACCAGGCTGATTGCTGGTAGGGCATGGTGACTTTTTTATGGACCAAGATGCAACCACCTCTATGAAAATGCAAGAATATTACTATCTAACCTCTGGCTATGGATAGCTTGAATTATAACTTGCAATTTCTAGCTTATGATTTTGCATAAAAGGAAAACGACAAAAATGCCATACCATTGTTAACTTTGTGGAGAAATCCCGTTAGCATCGTACTTGCAGTAAACATAAATCTAGTATAAACAAAGGTCCAGGGACGGGTTAACTGGGCAACCCGCAGAGCCGGTCACTTTTTATTGGTTGGACAGTACACAGTGGATTTATTGCTGCTAATATTAGTAATAATTTTCATCCAGTTACAAGTAAATCTTTTCTTTTTTTTTTTCTTGGGTCAAAGATATCTTTTTCACGAAATCATTAATCGGAAATTACTTCAGACTGCAAGAGATCCAGAGACGTCTATAATTAGATACATGGCTAGAATGTGCACGTTAATACTTGTCGCGGTGAATTCAAAAACGAATTCCGTAGACATTGAGAAACATTCTACTGTTATGAAACGAAACTACAAAAAAAACTTGTCTTGTTGAATGTAAGCGCTGCCGACTTTGTGGAAATCTTAATTAATATTAATTTTATTTTCTACATTCAAAAGGCCCAAAAAAGACGATAGGGATTCAATGATAAGTGGCGTCGGTGGCCTAGTGGTTAGGCTCTCGGACTCGCAACCGTAAGGTCGTGGGTTCGAATCCCGTCAGGGACCCGACGTTGTGTCCTTGGGAAAGGCACTTTACACGAATTTTCCTCACTTCACCCAGGTGGGAATGGGTACCCGGCTATAGTCAGCGAAAGATCTTGTCAGTATGTTAGTGTTTGAGCGCTTAATCAGCTGCTTGCACTGTATGCTTCCCGGGAAGCTGAGAATGTTTCGGAGTGTTCTATGGTCTGCTGGGGTAATAATATAGTGTAAAGCGCATAGAGCCTGCTGTTGAGCGGGGATTTGCGCTATACAAATGCTATCTATTATCTATTATTATTATTATTATAAGTTGTTGCACTACTAACTACAAATTTTTTAATTCTTTCTTCTTCGTCTCTGTTTCCTTAACGGTGGCTCGCAACTTTGTTGTCCCGCCCCCTGTTGCGACGAACAACTTCGCGCGAACACATCATTTCTAGTAGGCGATTTAATAAATTGTCTACAAGGCGCAAAGAGGAAGCCTCTGGTTGCCCATTTGGTTTGTCAGTTGCTTACTTTACTGAAGGATAAGACTGTCTTGAACAGCAAATTTAATACATTGTATTCCATCAGTAACGTTATCACCAAAACTGTCTCTAGTTACTCGCAGTACATCTTCTGTGTGCATGGCTCTAATTTGTATTGCCTATAGGTTTTTGGTCTCCCAAGGTTCTGTTTGATGTTCTACTTCCTACTGAAATCTTACCTGGCAGACCGCGCTTTCAATTGATTGGTCAGCCACGTTAGGCGCCTATATATTACGGAATTTTACCGAAGATGAGAATGCTAAACTAGCGAGAGGCACTCAGCTGACTAAGTCTGGACCGCCAAAAATATACCCTCCCCACTCCTTTTCGATCACCACAGCCAGACAGTTCCCCACTTAGCTTAATATAGTCTTCTGAGAGAAGTGCAACTTTAGATTGTTCATCTTAATCTGACGCCGAGTTTAAACAATTCTTGCTCTATCTACGCCCACGTTACTTTTAATGGCACTTAATTCCGCAGGCCAGCAACCAAACAAAAAAAACTTTTTCAAAAACTTTTGATGCAGTAATAAAAGAGATTTTTTCTTTAGGCCCTATAGTAAAAAAAAACCGCTCTTTGAATGCATAATATACAATATCACTAAAATAGATGAATTTGAGTAATTTTGCTAACAAATTGTCCATTTCGAGACAACGACACCGCCCTGCCCCCACATTTCAGTGTGTAAGCTTGAAGATTTCATTCTCCGGATGTTGCGACGTCTCCACGTTCTCCACGTGAGTCTCGAGAATTACTCTCCCCGTCTCTTCTTTGGCGAGCGTAATACAGGGTGCCCGCTACGGATGTGATCGGCCGATCGCCCGACTCGATCTCTTCATAAACAAACGTGTTTGTTTTACGGTGTGCCCACTACGGCCGATCGCCCGGGTACCCACTACGGCTGGGATCGGCCGATCAGGCCGATCGCCCCGACTCGATCGCCTCAAAAACAAACGTGTTTGTTTTCAGTTTCAGGCGATCGAGTCGGGCGATCGGCCCGATCCAGCCGTAGTAGACGTTTGTTAATGCTATTAGTGTATGCTGTAAGTCCGGGTTTTTTTTTACTCGCTTTAGGTTTACATCAAAGAAAACGGGTCAGAACTTAAGTTTGCAGTGGCCTTTAGGAATGGGCTTTTAGATTCTGTTGGTCATCCAACTTTTGGACTTTGGACCCGTATGTGAAGATCTAAGAAGATTAAACAGACTGATTTCATTTTATTTGATTTAACCACGGTCAGACGATAGTGAACAAGCCATATCTAGATCTAGAAACGTTTGATTATGACCAGAAATCGTTCGCTATGTTTAGTGTGTGTGCATTTAAAGAGTAACTGTGTGTGTGCGCGCGCGTGCACGTGCGTGTGTGTGTGGGTGTGTGTGTGTGTGTGCGCGCGCGCGTGTGCGCGCGTGCGTGTGTGTGTGTGTGTGTGTGTGTGTGTGTGTGTGTGTGTGTGTGTGTGTGGTGAAGGCTAAGGATAGCGAAGAAGTACGTATACAATGGAAAGTTTTGTTTTGTCTGGGGGAGAGTGGTGGGGATAAAAGGGAGGAAGTGGGGAGAGGGGACCGATGTGAATTGCAGCCAGTCAACTCTACTAACCCCGAGCTGACCCTGCTCAGGTAAGTCTGGCACACACACATAGCGAAAAAAAACCCACATACTGAAGATATTTTCAGGTCCAGAGGTCTTTCTTCATAGTCATGGTAAATTCTTTTTACCGTATTCAAAACACACACATAGTGTTCATAGTAAAGAATTGGTAAAAAGCGAAAACAAAAACGATGATACATTTTATGATTAAACTTGATCATAGATTTCATTCACTGAAACAGCCGTGATTGAGAGAGAGAGAGAGAGAGAGAGAGAGAGAGAGAGAGAGAGACAGACAGACAGACAGACAGACAGACAGACAGACAGACAGACAGACAGACAGAGACAGACAGAGAGAGGGGGAGAGTTAAAACGGGATCAGGTGACCTCTCTAGACGACGAGTGCAGCAGTGCAGATCTAGTCCAAAGACGTGTTTAGTGAATGGGTCACAGAAGTGTACATCTGCAGGGGAGAGTGGGGAGGGCTGGGACACGGGTAAACTGGGACGAGACCCGATTGTTATAGTTTCGTGGACAAAAATGAACCATACTGCAATGAATGTAGGCCAATAACGTATCCCTAATCACTACAATTTAATTTTGATTGCTATTAGTATTACATCTCTTAAACTTTCTATTTCCATTTTCAAATTTCAAAGACCACCCAGTATTGCAAAGTTTTTTCAAGACCAGCTTCAGTCTCTCTGCATCGAATGTGTTGAACTTCAGCTGAAATTGAGTGCTTTTATTAAGTCATAATAAAGTTATATCAACTTTATAAGACAATCGTACAGCCTGTGCGGTAGAGGACAGGCTGAGTACTTTTAAAGAGTTTTGATACCATCTTATTTTAGAAAATGCAGAATTATACTTAGTGTCTACACACGGTCAGGAGAATTGGGACATAGTGTTCCACTTTACCCCACTGGTGTCCCGGAGGATCCTGAATTCGCTCTCTTTTTTACCCCCCCCCCCCCCCTCCCGGCCAAGATTGTACATAACATGATAGATCACTCAGAAAATAAAGGGTCCGCGGAAGTCCACGCATTGGTTCTGCCGCTGCTGTCTTTGTTTTGAAGCGCTCTTTCGTTTCTCCAGAAGAAGAATAGGAATAGACCTATCACAGTTTGTTAATTTCAGTTGCCCCGTCCCCCACATCGATACGTGTACACACACGTACTTTTTTATATCTGGAGCCACGAGGCTGTGCAAATTAGGAGTCAAACGGTGTGGATGGTGGAAGTTTTGCAAGCGCCTTTACTGAGAAAAAAAGAGACATATATAGTTATATTACAACATGAGAGCTGTGTGAAAGAAGAATTTGCAAAGAAAGAAATTACTGCTGTCAAGGGAATCTCTTGTTATAAATCCCAGCCTTTCAATATAATGTCTGATTCTCAGCACTCGCTGATTAATATCCCATTTGAATCATTGATATGCAACATAAAATACTGTATCCTGCTTGAAGTCGTTTTCTGACCTCTCTACGGTGAGCAGGAGTAACTATAACTTTGTGCTTCAAATAAAGGAAGAATACACATCATCAATCATCATCAATGCCTTTCACCCCTGGCAGGGTATAGGCCACATACGAGCTCTTTCCATTTATCTCTGTCCAGGCCCATCCTTCAAAGCTCGTTCCAAGTGAGCTTCATCTCTCTCATGTCCCGTTTCACATATCTCCTCCATGTTTCCCGTGGCCTACCCCTGCCTCGTGCTCCCTGTGGGTTCCACTGCAGCGACTGTCTTGTGATGTTTCCGGTGGGCTTTCTGAAGGTGCTTTCTTTTAGTCCTATTTCCACTTCTTCGATATCCTTTTGTCCTGTCCTTTCCCAGAGCTCT